CGTCTCCAGGGCTCAAGTGATCCTCCTACCTCAGCCCTCCTGGACCACAGGCACCTGCCACCACACCCAACTAAACTTTTTTTTTTTCTTTTTTTTTGGTAAAGATAGGGTTTCACCATGTTGCTGAGGCTGGTCTTGAACTCCTGAGCTCAAGCAATTCATCCACCTAGGCCCCCCAGAATGCTAGAATTATGGGCATGAGTCACGGCACCTAGTCTACCCCCCGTTTTTAAATCTTTATTGTTTTGCAATAAAATTTGGAGAAAAAACAGTAGCGGTGGAGAGAATTTTCTTCTAAATTTATCTAGAGAATAAACATACAGCAAGAAGCTAATCCAAACCAAGCTTTCCTTTTTTTTTTTTTTTTTTAACTTCTAGATTAGTTTTGGAGTATAAAATCCCTATCAGAAGAACTCATATAGTTAAAAGAAAATGTTCCATCCCCATAAAGATGCTTTCGAAAAGGTATACCAGATTTCATCATTTCCAACAATACTTTACCTTATTCACTGCTCACCAAATGACAATGGCTTTTAACTCTGTTCTGGCTGTAAAGTTGGTAATATGATTCTAGAAGGATATACTCTAATTTGTTAAAAGTATATGGATACCTGAAATATTTCATCAACAGTGACAGAAGTCTATTTGAGAAGCTATCAGAAAGAAACACGATGACCGAAGTTCACACTGTTGTGCCCCTTATTCACTTAGAATTGTGACTTAGTAAAGAAAGACATGACTTACACCAACCCAAAAAACATTTGCTCAAAAAATTGTGTTAAGATTCCAAGGGAGATCATTAACTTATTAAAGAAATTAAAACACATACACACAAAACTTTTAGAAATACTCATTTGTTTTCCAGTTACATAGATCTTCTACTCATTGCAGCTCAAATAAATGCCTGTATTTGCTACTACACACTACCATATGTACCTACGTAGAGCAATAACTTAATTTGTCATGTCATAATTAAGAATAAGCTGCTGGCTGGGTGTGGTAGCTCATGCCTGTAATCCCGCACTTTGGGAGCTGAGGTGGGTGGATTGTTTGAGCTCAGGAGTTCGGGACCAGCGAAAGTCTGTCTCTACCAATACAAAAAAACTAGCCAGGTACAGTGGTGCGCACCTGTAGTCCCAGCTACCCAGGAGGTTGAGGTGGGAGGATTGCTCGAGCCCAGGAGGTGGAGGCTGTAGTGAGCCAAGATCACACCACTGCATTTCAGCCTGGGTAACAGAGTGAGACCCTGTCTTTAAAAAAAAAAAGGGGGGAGGAAAGAAAAAGCTGCTATTTTTGCTATTTTTTCTTTTCAGATAAGCTTTATGATGACTACATTTTGAAAACAGATATTCTAAGCATAATCTGTTTATTTTAATGTCTTTATAATATCAAGCACAAGGGTCTGCATTTCCAGTTGTCAAACTTTTCTGTTTTGCAATGACTAACAATTTTGACCATGGAAACATTCCCAAGAAAAATGCATTTATGCCAAATTGTAGATAATATTCTTTTAAGTTTCTGAAGCATCAATCTGTTTGATTAGAGGCTTGACTTTCTTTCAGAAGGGAAAAAAAGAAACACATATTCCATATTTATACATGCTTCTATATGCTCCCAACAATCACCTGAAAAAAACAGAACCCTACATTGTCAGAATTAGAATTTAACATGAAAGTTTAAGATACGGAATAGAAAAATATCTGATTTCCAAAACTAAAAAATCAGGTCATGATATTTGAGCACTTTAAGATTTACAGAAAGCTTTTATCTACCCAGTGTTTCATACTGTTTATTACCATGTTTTGGAAAATTTCTGGTATCTCAGAAGTTTTATGTTAGAAGATACTCTGAGCTATAGGTGCTTTTATATTTGATCCTAAAATTGATCCAGAGCAAAGGACATCCCTGCAATTTAAAAATATCCAGTGAGCCCTTGCCTTTACCTTCTCTACCCACTGGATTTGGTAATAATCAAAGCAGGGTACCCGAGTCAAAAGATTTTCCAGAACTGGCTGGACTGATTACCTAACGGCATATGCCGAACTGAATAGCCACATTAAAAGGTCCAGATATGGGTTGGGCACAGTGGCTCACGCCTGCAACCCCAGCACTTTTGGAGGCTAAGGTGGGCAGATCGCTTAAACCAGGAGTTTGAGACCAGCCTGGGCAACATAGGGAAACCCCATCTCTACAAAAAAATAGAAAAATTAGCTGGGCGTGGTGGTATGTGCCTGTGGTCCCAGTTATTCAGGAGGCTGGGGCAGGAGAATCACTTGTGCCTGGGAGGTATAAGCTGCAGTAAGCCACGATCATGCCACTGCACTCCAGCCTAGGTGACAAAGTGAGACCCTGTCTCAAAAAAAAAAAAAAAAAGGTCTGATATGGATATGAGTCCTTGGACATTTTTCCTTAGTGGAGCTGGCTGAGCCATGTTAAAGGTACATGCTCACTTGATCAACATTCCCCCATTATCATCCCTCAGACGACTGACCACATTAGGAACAAAGTCCAAGGCCAAGCTCATAAGAATGTATTCATGTAAAATTAATCACAATGGATTTTTTTATAAAAAAGAAAGAAAATCACACTCTAACGAATCAAGTTAATCAGATTTTTTTTAAAGGCTATAATCCAAAATGATGTCTACCACACCTTTATTTGTGTTTTAAACAAGTAACTTCCTTAAAAACAAAACAAAAGAATTCTTTCCGGCCTGTCAGACAGGAAGGCTCCTGCCCAAGGTCCACTGAGGTCTAGACCACTGGTAAAATCCAGAGTCATAAAAGCCTGTGCTTTTGAGCTGGGACAGGGCAGGCCAAGGGCAGAGTCTTCATTTGAGTAATCCACTTTATAGACACAACCAGTCCCTTATAAGACTTCAGTGTCCCTAAGTAATCTAAGTGAACACATTTAACAGGACACCAAAATGTAGCTTGTTTCCTATTCTGGAGTAACTTGAAGCAGCAATAAGAGTAGGTACCAAAACATCTATGATCATTCTGGTCCTTGGTAGGAATACAATCAATTATGAACACTGGGAAAACAGCTCTATGTCAAGAAAATGTTTTCTTCCTGTAGCACACCTGTATGCCAGGGTATTATCAATAAACTTAGGGTCATCATTTTATACCTCTTCATTGCTCAAAATGGTCTGAGATGCTACAGTATGGTATACATACTGTAATACAACAAGCAGATAATTCAAGCCAACCCAATGGGGCCAATTCAAGAGGGAAGGATTCTGCAGTTTATATCAACTCCCAGGAAATCAGATGTAACAAATTCAAGTTTCTGAATAAATACAATGCTGATACTCCCACAGGAAAAACACATGCCAATTAGAGGTCCCTCCTGTATTTGTGGCACATAATTGGCCTGGGGCTGTTTGCTCCATTGCCTCCAATTGGAGTCTTACCCAGGAAGGCTCCTTGGAAGCAATGCAAAATTTGGAATTTCTGGCAGTACAGAACTGCAGCAAACTTCCTGGTAGAAGTGCAATGAATTTGTCTATTTCTATCTAATAGTCACGCCCAGAAAAACAGTAAGACAGCACACACAAGAACAAAATTACTATTATTCTAGACGTGCATTGCAAAGTGATGTTCACGTGTGTTGTGTATTGACATCTAGCTAAGGAAGGTCAATAACCTATGTAATTCTTACAACTCAAAAACCTTTGTACTCAATGTGAATCAAACTTCCGTACTGAAGGAAAAAAATTGAAAGGTAGAAAAAGAAAAAGATATTTGTCCTTGTGCCAAGTTGCTAAATACAGTACAAACTACTTCCATTGGAAAGGAGGCTAAGAAGAGATGGTTTTTTAAAAATGTTTAAAGTTGTACTTATAACACATGTTCTTTGTAAAAAGATTAGACAATATAAGAAGACAAAAACGAAAATAAAACCAAGAGTCACGGGCAGTCCCATGAATCATAAATATTTTGATATATATTTTTATTGTTATTTATTTTCCTGAGACAGGGTCTTGCTATGTTGCCCAGTCTGGTCTCAAACTCCTGGGCTCAAGTGGTCCTCCCAGCACAGCCTCCTAAGTGAGATTACAATCGCCCCACACTCAGCTATTCTGGTGTATACAGTTGTAGACTTTTTTCCCCCTAGAAAAGTAAAGGTTTTTACCAATTTGTGGTAAACCTACCAATCTGTGCTACGGTTAGGTTTCTTTTCACTGGTATATACAGGAACAGCTATTTCCTTTTAGAAGTCTGTGTGCCTACCTTTATTAACTCTATCTTAACTGTGCAAATCTTAACTGTACTAGCCCATTACTAAATTTTCCTATACTCATTGAATAATCTAGTTTATTTTTACTATTTCATAAAGTTCCCACAGTCAAAATTCTGTGCTGGCTACCTGGTTTATTTTAGAACCAGTAATGAAGTATTGCGACTTTAGTTCCAAATACACATACAAAAAGGACTAATGTAATTTTTTCTTTTTTTTTTTTTTTTTTTACCAAGACAGATTAAATACTTTTGCTTTTATGCCTCCTCTCGTTCCCCAAGTTATATTTGCTTCTTTAACTAAATAATCTAGTTTTAAGACTAACTTCTTATTTAGTCAATGGTCTTTTTTTTGAGACAGGGTCTCACTCTGTCACCCAGCTGGAGTACAGTGGTGGCATCTCGGCTCACTGCAACCTCTGCCTCCCAGGCACAAACGATCCTCTCACCTCAGCCTTCCAAGTAGCTGAGACTACAGGTACATGCCACCACGCCTGGCTAATTTTTGTATTTTTTGTAGAGACAGGGTTTCACCATGTTGATAGGCTGTTCTTGAACTTCTGGCCTCTACCCGCCTAAGCCTCCCAAAGTGCTGGGATTATAGGAATGAGCCACCACGCCCAGTCTAATCAACCGACCTTTAACTCACAGCACAGCGAGGCATTTTAAGCACTTGTTGAGAGACATGTAAGAAAATTCATATGTAGAACTAGTTGATCTGAGTAAACAAACTGTGTCCAAAAGACAAGGATGCCTTACCTTATCTGCATAAATTGGAATATCATGAAATGGAGATATATATTGTCCTTTCTCATTTTCTGCAAAATAAATTAGAAAAAGTTATTACTGTAATTAATTGTAGTGCTAAATGCACATAGTACACATTTTTTTTTCCTGAGACAGGGTCTCTTACTCTGTCACCCAGGAGGGTGTACAATGGTGTGATCTTGGCTCACTGCTACCTCTGCTTCCCTCTTGAAGGCTCAAGTGATCCTCCAGCCTCAGCCTCCTGAGTAGCTGGAGTAGCTGGAACTACAGGCATGAGCCACTATGCCTGCATAATTTTTGTATCTTTTGTAGGGAGGTCGTGTTGCCATGTTCCCCAGGCTGGTCTCCAACTCCTGAGCTCAAAGCAGTCTGTCCACCTCGGCCTCCCAAAGGGCCGGAATTACGGGGGTGAGCCACTGCACCCAACCAATACACATTTTTTTTTTTTTTGCAGCAATTCATCTTTATTTCTTATTTTCCTCTGGGCGTGCAGAATCTGATATATTTCACCCCAGGTATATTTGGGATAGTTGGCTCTTCACTGGGTCAGGATGGCTGGGTGCCTTCTCCCCTGGCACGGTTCTCTTCTCTGCAGGGCGAGGGGCAGGGAGCTAGTAGAACCTCGCAATGCCAGCCACAATGGCAGACCCAGTGGAGCCCAGGATGAATTTGGTCAACCCGGAGAGTCCAGTTGCTCCCAGTGACTGCAGAGTAGCCACAAGGCTGCCCGGGGCAACTCCGCCCCCATTGGCAATGGCCACTGTGGACATCATCTTGGCTGCTATGGAGGACGAGGTGATTCCCGTCGCAGTGAAGCCCATGGCGCTGAGCACCATGGGCACAGCCTCCACGGCCACAACTCCTCCAATCACGACTGTAGCAATCCTCGCCAGGGGTAAGACTACGGCACGGCTAGAGGCCACCCTGGCCACTTTGGCCACACCGGTCACTGCTGATGAGGTGAAAGCTGAGGCCACCATGCCTGCTCGGGTTAATTCCCTGGCCCAGAGAAGGAGTTCCTGAGAATGTGAAGCTGACCCCACCATCTTAAGCTCGGATGTGTTCCACCAGTACACATTTTTAAACCAAGATATTATTCTCACACTAAGCTGGGCGCAGTGGCTCACGCCTGTAATCCCAGCACTTTGGGAGGCCAAGGTGGGCGGATCATGAGGTCAGGAGTTCAAGACCAGCCTGACCAATATGGTGAAACCCTGTCTCTACTAAAAATACAAAAATTAGCCGGGCGTGGTGGCAAGTGCCTGTAATCCCAGCTACTCGGGAGGCTGAGGCAGGAGAATCACTTGAACCCGGGAGGCTGAAGTTGCAGAGTACCACTGCACTCCAGTCTGGGCAACAGATCAAGACTCTGTTTCAAAACACAAACAATAAAACATAAAAGTCCTTTTAGGGTCAATTGTGACTTTGCAGTCTGTCCAGCCCTCTATCAGTTTTAGAGAAACTGACAAATGTAATATTACAAAGCTAAAAAAAAGTTTATTTATATTAAGGAAGGATAAAGCACTTAAAATTTGATAACTATATAGTGGGTTCTAATTATTAGTATTTCTTAAGTTCCAGAGAGTTCCACTCGACAAAAACAGTTACTTCAGCTAGTGCCAAATTCTAGAAGTAGCTTTGGTCTCCCATAACGGAAGATATATATAACATATATATTATATATATAGAGAGAAAATATTAATTGCAAATAACCTAAGTAAAAGCAGTGTATTTATTCTGCATATACAGCTTGAAGATCCACCCTTCACCTTCAAACCAGTCACCTCTGTAAGCCCTTCCTACAGAGAAATTCTGGAGCCAACACTATTTCCAGAAAAACAGTTCCATGAATTATTAGTCAAAAGTCACTGCACTGCCCTTGTTGCTTAATTGCAAAATTAAATAAAATGGGGAGGGGTGGGTAGTTCTCACGCTTCCTGGATTTTTCTGATAGTTAACCTTCAGCTAGATGTTTGCTTTACGGTTCACTTTCCTTTTCCTCCCGCACCAGGCTACTTTTTGCTAGGAGCTTTGTTCCTTCAATGCCTATTCCCATTCGTCCCCTCTACTCCCCGCTTCCCGGTCCTTCATACACCAACTCAGAGTTCGAGGTACCTGCCCATTTCCTTCCAAATAAAACTGTAAAGAGATTAAAATAGAAGCGCTTGTGGTGACACATTTACGAACGCCTCCGTTATCGCCCATAATCTACTCCTAGTAGCTGGGGGTGGGGGGAGTAAGAGGATAAAGAAAAACCCCAAGTAGATTTCCTCCACCTACAAGGCCAAAAAAAAGGTGGTGCCCTAAGGAGCGTGGAGGGCGCCAGCCTGCAGCCTCCCGGTTTCCCCGTGCAGCCCTAGGTGCAGGACCCGGGGTAGGTACCCCCTAGACGCCGAATCCTGCAAAGGTAAAAAACTTGGCACTTTCTCAGTCATTCTTCCAGATTGACGTCATCTGTTTGATTTGAGAGGAACAGCTTTCTGTTTCATAAGGATTCCCAGCATCGGCGCTGAGGGAACACAGGCGGCGGAGAGGCAGGAGCGCTACCGGGACCCCGGAGGACCGGTCCAGCGCCTTCACAGAGGCTCCCGATCCGGGCCTCAGTTTCCCCTTCTGTAAAATGAGGGGGTGGACTTGGCTCCGCTCAGCGCCCATAATCTGAGCTACGGCGGCGGAATTAAGGTCTTTAGGAAGTCACTGCCCCCCCTCGGAGTCGCCGTCCCTCCAAACTGAGCAATCCTCTTACGGGCATTATGCTACCTCCAGGCACCTTTCTAGAGTGGGTCTGTGATTTCCTTTTCCCATCAGACCCTGTCCGAGTCGGACACATGCAAAACTAGCTGGGCCCAGGTTCGGGTACCCCGTGGCGTGAGAAAGGGACCATCGCCGTTCAGCGGGGAGGGATGGCCGGAGGCGACCCCCGCTGCCCCGACCGGCGGCGGCAAGTGTGCAATGTGAGGGCCGGCCAGGCCCCACAACGCGTCGGAGACTTGGGGCCGAACGCGGGCCGCACCCTCCCGGGGAGGCGAGGCCCGGGAATGAATGGGCGGACCGGCGCGGAGGGGCCGGGGGCCGCAGACACTCACTGAGGAATACTCGGTACTCCAGGGAGAAGGGAGCGGCGCGCTCCTCGGTACTGAAGCCGCTCATGGTGCCGGAGTCCAGCCGCCGCAGCTGCCACAGAGCCACCAGCCCGCACGCGGCGCCGACAGACAAGCAGAGAGCCCCGCGCCTGCGCACTACGAGTACTGGACCGGTGGGCGGGGCGGGGAGCGCCTTTAACGCGGCTCCGCTAGCGTTCCCACCCCCGCCGGGCCAACCCCGTGCGCAGGCGCACTCCGCACTCCCGAGCCCCGCCCCTCGGGCCCAGCCTCTGCGATGACAGTGGGGGATCAGAGTCTGGGCCACGTGGCTGCCGCCGGCGCTGGCTCTATTCCTTCGGCATTGGGCTCTGACCCGGGAGGGCAAATGCGCAGGCCCTAAGCTTGGACTAGCTAGGAGTTGACGGCCGACCACGCACACAGGGAACTCACCTTTGATTCTCACACACTCCTCCCCGCAGACCTATTCCTTATCTCAAAAGGCGATGATAAGTCATCTGCTTCCCCAGACAGGCCCTGCTTGCGGTCTTAAAGGTGAGCATTTTTCTGATCCGTCTTAACAAAGTTGAGCCATACTGACGCCCCTAGTGGCTAGCAGTAAGGTACTCGCTCCTCCACTTTCTATAACCTCTCTGACTCCGTTGCTTATCTGGGAAGTGAAGATAGTAATAGTAACTATTTCATGAGTTACTGGGATGATTACCCGAGTTAATACACGTCAAAGGCTTGGAGCAGAACCTGGGTCTTTGTAAACACTCTGGAAGTTGTTACTGTCACCCTCCCCAGTGGGGGAAGATTTACTACCCCCTTTCCCCTACCCGCCCCCCACCACCTTACTTAACCCACCCGGGTCCCCAGGGGCTTCAGATGGAAGCATGGGGAAGGTCCAGGCGTGAGCTAGAGTCGCGTGAAGGATTGCTCTTAGGGATAGGCTCCTCTGAGCTTGTTTTCCTGTTTATATTTCATCATGTCAGGCCAGACCCCAAAAACTAAAGTCTGATAGAGGCAATGGGCAAATATTTGCATCACTTACCTACCTCCCCGGGCATACATGTTAAAGAAAAAAAGTATGTCCAAAATCCTCAATATAAATTAGAAAATTATTATTTACATTTCAAAGAATGCCTAGTTTTATTTGTTAAAAAATTTTCATGGCCAGGATTTATTTAAATAACTTTTCCTAGAGCATTAAAGATAATGTGTCTTAAGGACATTTTGAATTAAACTCTTCTTTTCAAAACAATGTCTATTGTAAAAAATGAATATTAAATGAAAACCTAGTAAGATCTCCAGTTAGTTATGGTGTCCCTCCCTTTGTCTCTGTCCAACTCCCAAATCCCACTGACACCCGTTAATTTTCAGAAGGCTGTGATTCACTGATTTTTTTGGAACATTACACCACAGTTTTACTGCAGTTAGAACAAAAGGGCAGGAAAAAAAAATAGCGAAGCAATAGTTTAGTCACTAATTAGAGTCAAGGCCAGGCATGGTGACTTACGCCTTCAATCCCAGCACTTTGGGAGGCTGAGGTGGGCAGATTACCTAAGGTCAGGAGTTCGAAACCAGCCTGACCAACACAGTGAAATCCTGTGCCTAATAAAAATACAAAAATTAGCTGGGCGTGGTGGCACGCTCCTGTAATCCCAACTACTCGGGAGACTGAGGCAGGAGAACACTTGATCCCAGGAGGCGGAGGTTGCAGTGAGCTGAGATCATGCCAGTGCATTCCAGTGTGGGTGACAGAGTGAGACTCTGTTTCAAAAAAGAAAAAAAAAGTAGGATCAAGTTCAGAGAATATTTTAAGGGGGATGCTCTTTTGATTGGACTGCTCTATCACTTTTCTGCCTTTGAGCAGATGGAACCAATTTTCTTGGAAATACCCAGACTCTCATCTGTGACTGACTTAAGGAGACAGCAGTGATGCAATAATAATGTTCTACATACACTTTCCCTTTGCCTCCTGCCAGCTCACAGCAAGATAATAAAGTCTCACTGACCTCTGAACTTGCACACTGGCTCTTGTTTCATCGAATGTATTCAGAGAGCCAGTCAGTACCAGCTCTGGTAAAACACCCAGCCCTGGTGCATTGTAACTTTCCTTTGCAGTCAAGTGTAGTGAGCCCATAGGCCCAAAAGGACCTTGGTCTACTATGTCTCCCTAGGGCCTAGCACAGTACACAGCCTAGAGTAGATGTTTACTGAATCTTTGCTGGACGAATGGGTAGAGGAATTAATGAAAAGGTGAATACCTTCTTAAGTACATTAGTTTGACAGAGAAGGAGTCCATCTCTTCTCAAATATTTTCTTTCTCAGTGACCAAATCTAGTGGCACTTTCCAGTCCATATCCTGTCCCCTTTGCTCTGGGTGACCCTATTGGGTGTCTCTAATTTCCTTCTTTGGCTTGCAACTACACTCTCTTTTTTTTGTTTGTTTTCTTTTTTGAGACAGAGTCTCACTCTGTCACCCAAGCTAGAGTATAGTGGTGTGATTTCGGCTCACTGCAACCTCTACCTCTTAGGTTCAAGTGATTCTTGTACCTCAGCCTCCTGAGTAGCTGGGATCACAGGCATGCACCACCATGCCTGGCTAACTGTAGTATTTTTATTAGAGATGGGGTTTTGTCATGTTGGCCAGGCTAGCCTCGAACTCCTGGCCTCAAATGATTCGCCCATCTCAGCCTCCCAGAATGTTGGGATTACAGGTGTGAGCCACAGCGCCAGGCCATGACTGCATTCTCTTTTCGTGTTCTTCCTACTTCTTTTTTTTTTTTTTTTTTTTTTTTTTTTTTTTGAGACACAGTCTTGCCTCGTCACCCAGGCTGGAGAGCAATGGCACAATCTCGGCTCACTGCAACCTCAGCCTCCCAGGTTCAAGCAATTCTCCCGCCTCAGCCTCCCGAGTAGCTGGGATTACAGGGGTGTGCCACCACGCCGAGCTAATTTTTGGTACCTTTAGTAGAGATGGAGTTTCACCATGTTGGCCAGACTGGGCTCAAAATCCTGACCTCGTGATCCGCCTGCCTCGGCCTCCCAAAGTGCTGGGATTACAGGCATGAGCCACCATGCCTGGCCCGTTCCTACTTCTTTGCTACTCATTTCTCATTCTCCCTCTCAGTCTTCTTCATTTCATCATCTTAATCATCATTGTCTTTCTTATTTCTCATGTTCTCTCTCTCTCTCTCTCTCGATACTCTCTGTCTAGATTATCTCATGTATATTTTGGTGTCAACTACCACCTAGAAGTCCTATAACATGAAAACTTTCAAATCTATAACTAAGTCTTTTTTAACACTTGCTGTGGTCATGCTCTGTGATAGGTGGGTAGGGATGTAGCCCTACTAGGCCTTATAGTCAGAACTTAGAGTCTAGAGGACAGACAGACTTCAACAGATAATTATCATCAATTTGGGTGAGTAGAGTGATATAGAAAGTACAGGGCATTACATTATGGGAACAGAAAACCTCTTCAAGGAAGTGACCTGTAACCTGCAATCTGAATGAGATGGGATTAATAAGGCAAAGGGGACAAGGCCAAAGCCAGAAAATGGTTAGGTGAGACTAGGCCAGGCACGGTGGCTCACGCCTGTAATCCCAACACTTTGGGATGCTGAGGCCGGTAGATCATGAGGTCAGGAGTTCGAGACCAGCCTGACCAACATGATGAAACCTGTCTCTATTTAAAAAATACAAAAATAAGCTGGATGTGGTGGCGCGCACCTGTAATCCCAGCTCCTCAGGAGCCTGAGGCAGGAGAATCTCTTGAACCTGGAAGGCAGAGGTTGCAGTGAGCTGAGATCGCACCAATGCACTCAAGCCTGGCAACAAAGCAAGACTCCATCTCAAAAAAAAAAAAAAAAGAAAAGAGGTGAGACTAGAGAAATAGGGCCAAACGCTAGAAATCCTTGGAAGGCATTATATGAGGATTGAACTTTCTCCCAAGAGCAATCGGAAACTTAAGAAGGGTTTTTAATGGGAAAATAACATGATCAGAATTGCATTAAGAAAAGGTACTATCAGCAGCTTAGAACTTGGATTGAGGTTTGATAAGACTAGAGGCAGGGAGACCAATGCAGTCCACTGCAGGGCCCCAGATGAAAGATGGTGGTGGTTTCCTGAACTTGGGTGGCAAAAGAGAAGGCTGATTACAGAGCTGTGTTCAAGGTAGAATCAATGGAATTATTGATTGAATAGCGTGGAAGAGGAGAGAGGTGGAGATTTGAGGATGAGTCCCAGGTTTCTGGCTACAAGTACTGGTTGAGTTGAATGGTGTGTCATTTACTGAGAGAGTCTGGGTGAAATGGAGGGTATTATACCAAACACTGCTAGCTCCCTACCCAATGGCCATATTACCTTCTCTTTTCTAGAAGAATCCTGATTTTGTTCAAGAGACTGGTGTGGTGGCTCATGCCTGTAATCCCAGCACTTTAGGAGGCTGAGGAGGACGGATCACCTGAGGTCAGGAGTTCAAGACTAACCTGCCCAACATGGCGAAATCCTGTCTCTACTAAAAATACAAAAATTAGCTGGGCGTGTTGGCACGTGTCTGTAATCTCAGCTACTCAGGAGGCTGAGGCAGGAGAATCGCTTGAACCCAGGAGGCAGAGGTTGCAGTGAGCCAAGATATATATATATATATACGCCACAGCACTCTAGCCTAGGCAACAAGAGCAAAACCTCTGTCTCAAAAAATACATAAAATAAAATAAAAAGAAGCTACTGTCTTGTGCACACCTTTGCCTCAGGGCAGCCAGCCATTCCTTCATCTTCATGAAGTGAGGTTTTTGTTTTTTTTTTTGAGACGGAGTCTCCCTCTGTCACCAGGTTGGAGTGCGGTGGTGTGATCTCAGCTCACTGCAACCTCTGCCCTCCTGGGTTCAAGTGATTCTCCTGCCTCAGCCTCCTGAGTAGCTGGGATTACAGGCACTTGCCACCATGCCTGGCTAATTTTTGTATTTTTAGTAGAGACGGGGTTTCACCATGTTGTCCAGGCTGGTCTTGAACTCCTGACCTCTGGTGATCCACCTGCTTTGGCCTCCCAAAGTGCTGGGATTATAGGTGTGAGCCACCGTGCCTGGCCTCCACTTTGATTTTTAAACTTGAAGGGATGCGATGTGGACAGTCCTTAGGTTTCCTAAAGAATACTGAGGAAGTTTTAAAATTACTTTTTGGCTATAGTTAGGCCTCTAGAATATATTAGTAATATATATCTAGAATATAATA